TGTAGAGTAGAATTTGCGTCACGAGTAGGATTTTCATTTCGTATTTTCGTTGGTCGTTCGGAATCCTACTTCATCTTGTTTTTTTAAATTTTTTAGCACATGGTCTCAGGCCAAATTTCACCAAAATTGAAAAGGAGAGAATTCTCCATTTTTATAATTTTTTCTAATACATAAACATGTTCTTATGTTGTGAAGAAAGTTTGAGCTGGTTCCAATCAAAATTAAATTTAGAAGGAATTTTTAAAGCAGCTCAAAAATTTGGGCAAAGTTAGGTCAAATTTCATGGAGTGATTTCTTCATTTTTATAATTTTTTTCCAATGCATAAATAAATCATAACCATACATGTACTTATGCTCTGTAGAAATTTAATAATCAAAACTGGACTTTTATATATTTTAAAAGTTCCTCCAAAAGCCATATGCTGTTATTAGGCTAGTCAGCTCACTTAGCATGCATTGTGGGGTACCCTAGGAAAAATTGACTATTTACCAGTAGCTTCTCTGACAACACCAATATCACTAGGAGATCCAAGACCAGATCTTAATAAAACATAAGACACAATCTTCCTATATAAAGCTGCAATGACAGTACATTATATACATTATATTTAGAAATGAACTTCTTTACCTTCTAGTTCATCCCTTCCCCTAGCTCTAGCATCAGTGATATCTCTCACCACTGGTTGCAGTCTTGAGTTTAGTACACGATGATGCTCCTTAAGAAATTCATCTAAAAAGAGAGGAAAGGAATCAGAGCCTTCCTTTTTTATTTAAATACCTCTTGTTGAATAATTCATGTCAAAATGGACCTGCATTTTAATAGTGTCTAGTGATGGTGAGCCAGAATCCATCAATCTTTTTATGCAACTCTGTATGGATAATATAATCATTACAACACCACACAGTCAATGCTGTACCTCTATTAATTTCCCAACGTCATCTTTTGTTAGTGTTCTGTCTACATTAAAATCATTTTCAGGATCTAGGACTGCAGCTTTGACCTATAGAAAAAAAAAGGAGAGAAGAGTTCAATTTATTACTATTCTGGTAGTTACTATGAATGCTGCCAATGTTTCAGAGATAGTCTGTCCTTTACCACTGCACCGAGCACATATCTCTTGTATAATGTTACGAATAACGCTCTCAGCCTGCGGATTGCTCATGTCTTCTTTACTCTTGTATAGCCGCCATTTTGTTTTCTTGCTAAATTCTAGTTGCCATAGAAACTAGTCACGTGGGTGTGCACTATTTAGACCGCGCTTCGGTGGTAAATCAATTATTAATTTTCTTAATAATACAATAATCCATCTTTATACAAATCAATAAATTCCTCTCTTAAGCATTCCTTCCCTATGGAAGCAGCAAATGAGTCCAACTTTGATTGTAGAGCCTTTGAAAAATCGAGAGGAACACAGCCTTTCCTTTTGGTAGCAGCAGCCACAGATTTAGTGTCTTTCTTACCTAAGGAATAATAAATATTTGCAAGTCACATGACAGTCATAAATTACCTTTAATATACTCCCTTTGCTCCAGTGTACAGAGCAATACATGATGATAGCCTGGGACAGGGATCTTGAGTGTACAAGAGAAACAGGAGCATACATTAGACAAAACTGAGTCCTCAATGTCTTTATTCCTTGCAACCAGATTAGTAACAAACATACCTAATGTTAATGAGGTTTAAAATGAACACTCTCTGATGATGTTACATGCCATTAGGATGCAGAAGAGATTTCGCAGCTTGCAGGAACTGAGGAGTAGTGAATGAGAGAGGGGGACTGCTTAGACCAGAGCCAGCATCTTTATTATCAACATCAAGGATAATCACATGATACAGAACATCAGCTATTGAGAGAGAGAGAGGAGAAGGGGATTTGTACTTGTACTAATATAAAGCTTACCCTGTTTTCTATCTGATAGTGACATTATATGTTCAACACCATCTCCTTCAATGACATTAAGTTTCCCTCTGTCTCTGTGGACTGGGATCTCCTCTCCTTCTCCTCCAGTTACGATTTGATCTGCTTCCAGTCCAAACCAGTCAATGGCTACCTGTATCATTGAGCCATCCAAATCAACAACATCTTGACATACCTAAACATAATTATTATTATTATATTTTCATGCTACTCTTTTTGAAGAGGGTTGCTCACCATTGGAATATGCTTCTTAATAAACATAGGCAATGCCCCACCTCCTAGTCCTACTATTAATATATCTAATGCAGCACCAGTTGGATTCCTTCCTCTCTTCCCTCCTTCTTCTCCCCCAATTAGAGCAAGTGATGATAGCATTAGCTTGTGATAAGGAAACATCAATTCACTGAAATCAAAGAGTTTCCCGCCATTTTTGTGCTGTCTGCCCTTTTTACCTTTCCTTTTACTGGCACCATCGCCTGCAGAGATTAAAAATTTAAACTGAAGCTATTTAGTCTTTACATACTTTTATTTATCATTAATATTTCCGTCTGAGCCAGATGAGGTGACTCGAGAAACACAAGTCGACGTACTAAACCTCTTTCTCCTTCATCTTGACTCTCCTCCACCACAAACCCTCCACTGGACGAAGAACTGGACTCTAATAGAACAGTACGAGAGCCAACACCTTCGGCTAATGAAAGAACTGGGCACTGAGAAAGAAAGAATTAGAAATAATTACTAACAGAGACTACTTTGGCTCATAATACATCTTCATCATAAAACAAAGACATATATAAAGCTTTTTTTACACGTGTATGACATGTATACAGAAAAACAATTTCCTCATACAGTTGACACAAGTACATGAAGGTAACCACATTATCATGCAACCCACAATAGCTTGAACAAATATCAGTGCTTAAAAGAGTTGCATTCACTGCATGTCAGTATGACCTGAAATGATGTTTCAAGATTCTTGGAATTACAATTTTTTGGTAGCGTTCATTATAAATGAACCCTGTAGCATAGTTTACTTTAATATCACTAACTAAATAGACTAACTAAATAGTGATTTGTCATAACAATCTCACTTTTATTCTGTCTGGCAGTGAGTCTTGCGATAATTCCATTGCTTTGGTTGATATTTCTTCCTTCACTTTATCAAGGCTCTGGTAGGTGTGGCCTCGATGAAGGGTCACTATCACTAGTCTCTCATATCCTGCTGACTCAGCTAATTGAGTCGAGCCAGCAGAGCTGGAAAAGAGCCAATTGGTTTCTCTAAAATGCAAAGTAGAAAATAATAAAGAGTAGTCTGTGACTGTGTGTTTAAAAGTAATTTCATTATTAATTCTGTTACCTTCCTTGAGGTACAAGAAATATTGCAAACTGTCCATTGAGTGCTTTCTTTTTAGGCAGATCCACTACCCGAAGGGTAAACCTTGGCTCAATGTTATTGCTATCAGACCACAGGTCCAGACAAACTTGCTCTTCCATATGCATGCTGTACAAATCAAAATAAATGCATTTTATTAATAAACAATAATTTTTTCAGAGAACCTTTGTCTAAATAGTCATCAATCATAATAAAATTGTGTGTCTTTTCAAAGCAGTTAATGAGCTATAGCAGAGGGTATTTTTGAGAAATTGATGCTCATAACTCAAAAATTATTTGTTGGAAACAGCTCAAACTTTCTACATAGCATTATAAAGACATCAATATGTATCAGAAAATGTAATAAAAACTGGGAGTGACTTTGGAGCCCATTTTCAGGAAAAACCATGGGCTATAGCCTTTGCTTTTTTCAAAAATTGGCTCACTTTGTAAAATGCTCATAACTCAAAAATTACTTGTTGGAAACAGCTCAAACTTTCTACATAGCATTTACCTTCCAAGATGATGGAGTACTAGTGCGTATTGTTGGCAGTTTCTGACAAACTCAATAATCCCAGCATCATCTTCACATCTAATGCACTTCTCATCTTCATTCACGTACTCAAATATCTGAAATTAATTTTAAAATGGATCAAACAAACTTTATATTATTATCCCTCACTTGTATAGCTGGTGAAGCCATTTTTGTCATTACGAAAATAAACACAGGAAGAGCACTAGCCACACCTACTTTTTCACCCACGCACTTAACGACATGAACTCGAATGATCCATCCTTGACTGTGAGCAGCTACAAGCTGATTCAGGACATGCTCTTGAGACAAACTGATACAAATGTAGCGACCGTTGGATTTTAAAACTCGACTGATCTCACTGAACATATTCTTTACTTTATCTATGGTCTCCTGACCACTATTGACACATATAGCATCTAATGTACCTGAAAATGTTAGAAATAATTTTTCCGATCTATTATATATGATGACAAAATAAATATTCAGTTGCGTTGACAATTATCTTGCATAGTTTCAGTACCGTATATCCTTAAATAAAAGCCAGATGCGAATAAGCGCTGGGGAAGCAATACAATTGGAGTATAAATACGCAAATCTAGCCTTCAATCAATTCAGATGCCTTGTGGATACTTCCTTAGGCTCCTGGCACCAAATGTGTGAGGTTACTGGTTTGAATCCCACTCTGGGCCCAAGTTTTTTTTTTAATTTTTAAAATTTGTTCAAGGTTCAAATATCATTTTAGGAAATAGATGCCCGGCTTTTATTTAAGGAAATACGGTATATATACTCATCGACACTTGCAAATTAAATACATACCTTTATCTATAACACAATCAAAAGTGGAGTCATCATACGTCATCTGAAATATGTCCATTACTGTGTACGTCATTTCTGGACGCTTGGTCCTGTTCTTCGAGGCCATTTGCTTTATAACAACCTCTGATATATCAATATTGTCAATACTTGTAAAGCCAACATCGTAAAGGTCTTCACTGAGTTTTGAGTTACCACAACCAACGACTAATATTCTATTAGATGGCTTAATGTATTTGTGCAGTATATGGCAGAGATCCAGATACTCCCCATACCACTCAAAGGGAGCCTTTCTCTTCTGAAAGAACTTCTCCCAGTAATCTTTAAGCTGGAACTCGGAATGAGATGAAGGGAGAAGAGAGACACTCATGAGGACGCATGGGGTTAAAATATGAATATTACACACGTGGACGCACGTGGCTAGATGTGACAAAGTCTGACCATAGATATTATACACGGAACAGGATTGGAAACAGGATCACGTGAGCACATTATGCATCGAAACCAACCTAGTAGAGGGTTTGTCGGGAACTGGTGACCGTAATGGAGATGAATGGAGAAAGTTTGTGGGACTCTGGCAACTACATCGGACGACAAAGCAGGCTAGTAGGAGCCTTTATAGCTACCTCTCAAGGGTCTTTAGTGGAATAAGGCATCTATTAGTGCTTATATCTATGTTTCAAAAAGTTATGGCGTGCTAAAACAAAGGGATCTTAAGCCAGGATGCCATTACTCTCAAACTAACAGATGCGCACCATAAAAAACGTCTTAGTCCACTGTAGGATGTTAAGAAGTAGCTATAGAGCTAAATACCTTGTCATAAAACCGCCGGGTATAGCCTAGAAAGTCCCACAAAGTATTTTTAACAATCTCCATTCATCTCCATTACGGAATTCAAATTTCACTCTTAATAACCACGAATTAACTAGTTCCCGGAAAACTAGGTTGGTTTCAATGCATAATGCGCTCACGTGATCCTGTTTCCAATCCTGTTCCGTGTATAATATCTATGGTCTGACATAATGAATACAATTAAATACAACCCACAATAGCCTTTACTAAAAGTATCCTTTATAAGGACAGCACTGCTTTAGTGTCCCATAGGGCATCTTGGAATCTTCCATTATCACTAATTTTTGAAAGGGTAAAGTTGAGTGTATCAATACTGTGTACTCTCAATGAACGCCCTGATCTTAATTAAAATAATGGGATGTTTTTGATGAGTCTGTGTGACAAGTTTTGCACGTGTAGCACGTGGGTTTAATAGGCGTGGTTAGCAAAAACACCACGCCTTTTTAAAACATGGAGGTTGATGAGGAAACTTTTCCAAGCAAAAAGAAAATACACGTCAATGCTGCTTCTGTAAGACATCCTGGCAATAGTTGATTATGTGTGTTCTTTTAATTAGCTAGTTGACTTGAAAGCTGCTTTATATCGGAAACAACAAGAAGCAAGGAATTCAGCACTAGGAGGTAACCTTAGCACAGCAAAGACCACACAGAATAAAAGGATCTCTGACAAAGTAATTAGTTGTTTGTGTGCTTTTGCAAAGTAAATGCTAGCAAAATTGTAGTATGATAATACATTGTTCTTATTAATGCCCACTATTCCTATTAATGCCCAACTTTATTAGACAGCCTCAATATGGCGTCGGGATCCTAAAAAACCACAAAAAGGTGCTCAGTCAAAAGGAGGCCGTAACTCCGCCCCTTCCTCCTCCTCCTCTAAATTAACTCCAGAGGAAGAAGCAACTCTTGCTAAATCAAGGTACTTTAAACATTATTTATTAATCGTTTATTTTCAATTAATTTTGCAATTGATAATAATTTAGAGTTGTTCTTGAGGCTAAAGCGAAACTTTACGACAGATTAGCAGCTGGAAGCGACGATAGTGATGATGATGATGATGATGATCCGAGATACATGGTTGATTTTCAAAAGAAATTAGTTCAAGTACGTATGGCTATTTCATCATCATCATCATCATTATTATTATTATTATATGTGCATGTGTCAAATTATCCTTATTTTCATGTAATACCTGTTTTGTATTGTTTTTTTTAGATAAGTAAAGATAAGAAAGGATCTATACAGACTAGTAGTGCAGCCAGTGATAAGAAAGAAGAGAAGAAAGATGAGGAAGTGAAAGCAGAGAACAGTGATGAAGAATGGTAAGAACCTGTCTTCATTGAAAGACATTTATATTGTCTCTCTTCCTCTATCTCCCTCTCTCCCTCTCTCTCTCTCTCTTTGTGTGTTAGGGTTGAATACGTTGATTCTCTTGGTCGATCAAGGCGCTGCATGAAGAAAGATTTAAGTGAAATGCAAAGACTTGATAAAGAAATGGAGAGTGCTAGAAATACCAAGAGAGATAAATCAAGGTACAATACAACACACTAGAGTATAGCAATGTTATTATTATTAAAAAAATTTATGATTGTGTAGGTCTCCAACTCCAGAGCTCTTATCAGCTGATATGAGACAAGAGAGGGAGAGAGTCGAGTGGGAGAGAAACGCTTTTAGAGAAACAGGAGGCCATGACGAACCTGAAGAAATCAAACCGGTTGGACCAGTTCACTACCAAAATGTGCAACACAATGGTAAACATTTGTTGTTGTCATTATTATTATTGTTGTTGTTGTTGTGTTTGGTTTTAGAGGTGAGATCTCACGGCGTTGGCTATTACTCGTTTTCTGTGGAGGAAGAGAAAAGGCAGGCACAACTTAAAACTTTAAATCAATTACGAGATGACGTAAGTTAGGAATTTTAAGACAAAACAACTATGACCCTTCTCTTTCACTCTCTCTCTCTCTCACTCTCTCTCCTTCATCTCTCCTTCATCTCTCTTTATTCAGACTATTGACAAACGTGCTAAACGTGAGCAGTTGAAGGCAAAGCGTCAAGCTATACTCGAAGCAAAACTAGCTCGAGTTAGACAGAGGAAACTGAAGCAAGGAGGAGGCGATGATGGAGGGAAACCGTCGATAGATATTGCTGACTTTGATTTTGAGTCAAGGGAGAAGAAAATGAAAGAGAAAGAGACTAAAGGTAGAATTATAAATAATTCTTTATTAATTTTTTCATTTGATGTGTATTGTCTATAGATGCTGATAGTTTGCAGGTAAAATTAGCTAATGAAGTTGCTAAAGCTAGAGAGAGAGCTGAGGAGGATGAGAGAGCTAAGCATGTCAGACCCTGGGACAGAGGGAAAGGTAAGAAAAAGCTATGCATAATAATACATGTACGTGATATATAATAATAATAATAATTGTGATCATAATGAATCTACATGTATTGCATTATCTAGTTACTGATCCTATTCGAAAGAGGAAACAAGAATTGAGAGAAGAAAGACAAAGTGAATTTGCTCCTCCGACTTTGTACAAGAAATTAAAAGATACAACCACCTGGACCCATCCTCCTCCTCCCCCTCCCCCTCCCCCTCCTACTACTGAAGCTGATAATTCCAACAATCAGCCATTATATCCATATCCTCCTTATCCCCCTCCCCCTACTCTTCAAGGTGGAGTTATGTACATTCCTCAGTTTGTTCCTACTTTTATGTACCCACCACCACCACCTCCTCCTCCTCCTTCCTGAATTACAAATAATTAATTAAGCATTATGTGTATAACCTGTGTATAAATATTAAAGCACAATAGCATTATTGTATAAATCAGCAAATATAGTTCTCATTAATCCCTTAGTCCAGCCAAGGGGTCCAAATGTTTCCAAATTTCTTTGGATCAGATCTCGGGTCGATTGGTGGATCCATTTGTACAATATGGGTGGCATTATATGCTTCAATCAGCTCCTTTAGTTTTGATACAATCTCAGGATGACTTGCACTTAACTCATTCCTCTCATTTGGGTCATCTTTAACGTTGAAAAGCCAAGTTAAGCTAGGATTGACTTCAGGCTCTTCTATAGTTCCATTCAAGTGGATCCAACCAATGGGGCATAGATCGTATACCGTGTGTGGACCTAGTTTTTCAGAGCAGTTTGGTTGTCCTATTATCAGCTTCCAGTCTCCTTGCCTTAATGCTGCCTGTCCTATGAACTGAGTACGCTCATCATATTTTGGAGGGTCCAGTTGGTGGAGTATTTCAGTTCTTGGTGATGGAGTATCATCGTTTATTGTGTCCCACATATTAAAACCGTCCAATCCTTTGGTATCCAGTGTCATGCCTGCAATCCCTTCAATGATTGTAGGATACCAATCAGTAATATGCATCATTGCATTGTTGTCGTAGTTGCTCTTCCTTAGTTTGGTGCTCCATACAAAAGATATTCCACGGACTCCTCCTTCAAATACTGTGGCCTTGTTGCCTCTTAGTGGCCAGTTACTGCTCCCTAGAGCTGTTTGTCCTCCATTGTCAGTAGTTAGTATGATTATGGTATCATCAAGAAGACCTTTTGTCTGAAGTAGACTTGTAATGTTTGATATGCCTTCATCCAGTGCCAGCATCATTCCGCAGAATATCTTTCTATTAGGATACGGACTGTGGCATTTTTCCAAGTAAGTATCAGGTGCTTCTAGTGGACTGTGAACTGATTGATATGCTCCATATATGAAGAAAGGTGAGTCACTTTTAGCATTGATTGCATCCTCAATGGCTTTTGTAAACAGAAAGGTACTGTAAGTTCCATCTTCATCTTTCACTGGGTCAGTGTTGTTCCTGAAATCAAGATATCCTCCAACTTTGTGTGTGTAATAGTCCTCATCAGCATCATAGTAGCCATAGAATGTATCAAACCCACGATATGTTGGGGTAAACTCCCATTTATGCATCCCAAGATCCCATTTACCTGCAGAAAGAAGAGAAAATGCACTCACCATCATCATTTTATTGCATTATAGTGTGCACATACCAACAGCATGTGTGGAGTATCCTCCTTTCTTGAGGTGATCAGCAATGGTTGTTTCATTAAGACCAAGTCCATAAGGGTGACCATTTGTGATGACACCATGAGCTAGTCCAAGATGATAAGGATATTTCCCAGCAAGCAAGGCTGATCTTGAAGGAGAGCAGAGAGGCTGAACGTAATACTGCTTCAATCTTATCCCCTCTTCTGCAAGCTTGTCTATATTTGGTGTCTGGATGTCACTTCCTTGATAGCTTGTGTCATTCCATCCCAAATCATCTATAACAAATAGAATAATGTTGGGACTATTGGCTGAGGAGACCAAAGGAGCTGAGAATGCCAAGAGGAATAAGACTAGAGAAAATGAGCACATCTTCCTTTGTAATGTTTGACCTTTGAGTAGCAAACAACATTCATTTTTACATTACACTTAAGGTATTCATTTCCAAGCATGTACTATGATATGACATTATTAATAATTCTAATTTGTGAAAATATTTAATTGAACATTATGTATATAACCTGTATATAAATGTTAAAGCACAATAGCATTATTGTTAAATCAGCAAATATAGTTATCATTAATCCCTTAGTCCAGCCAAGGGGTCCAAACGTTTCCAAATTTCTTTGGATCAGATCTCGGGTCGATCGGTGGACTCATTTGTACAATATGGGTGGCATTATATGCTTCAATCTGCTCCTTTAGTTTTGATACAATCTCAGGATGGCTTGCACTTAACTCATTCCTCTCATTCGGGTCATCTTTAACATTAAAGAGCCAAGTTAAGCTAGGATTGACTTCAGGCTCTTCTATAGTTCCATTCAAGTGGACCCAACCATTGGGGCATTTATTTCCTACCAGGTGTGGACCTATTTTTTCGGAGCAGTTTGGTTGTCCTATTATCAGTTTCCAGTCTCCTTGTCTTAATGCTGCCTGCCCTATGAATGGATTACGCTCATTATCATATCTCGGAGGATCCAGTTGGTGGAGTATTTCAGTTCTTGGTGATGGAGTGTCATCATTTATTGTGTCCCACATATTAAAACCATCCAATCCTTTGGTATCCAGTGTCATGCCTGCAATTCCTTCAATGATTGTAGGATACCAATCAGTAATGTGCATCATTGCATTGTTGTCATAGTTGCTCTTCCTTAGTTTTGTGCTCCATACAAAAGATATTCCACGGACTCCTCCTTCAAATACTGTGGCCTTGTTGCCTCTTAGTGGCCAGTTACTGCTCCCTAGAGCTGTTTGTCCTCCATTGTCAGTAGTTAGTATGATTATGGTATCATCAAGAAGGCCTTTCGTTTGAAGCAGATTTGTAATGTTTGATATGCCTTCATCCAGTGCCAGCATCATTCCACAGAATATCTTTCTATTAGGATACGGAATATTGCATTTGTTCAAGTAAATATCAGGTGTTTCTAGTGGACCATGCACTGACTGATATGCTCCATATATGAAGAAAGGGTGAGTCGCTTTTAGCATTGATTGCATCCTCAATGGCTTTTGTAAACAGAAAGGTACTGTAAGTTCCATCTTCATCTTTCACTGGGTCAGTGTTGTTCCTGAAATCAAGATATCCTCCAACTTTGTGTGTGTAATAGTCCTCATCAGCATCATAGTAGCCATAGAATGTATCAAACCCACGATATGTTGGGGTAAACTCCCATTTATGCATCCCAAGATCCCATTTACCTGCAGAAAGAAGAGAAAATGCACTTACCATTGGATTATAGTGTGCACATACCAACAGCATGTGTGGAGTATCCTCCTTTCTTGAGATGATCAGCAATGGTTGTTTCATTAAGACCAAGTCCATAAGGGTGACCATTTGTGATGACACCATGAGCTAGTCCAAGATGATAAGGATATTTCCCAGCAAGCAAGGCTGATCTTGAAGGAGAGCAGAGAGGCTGAACATAATACTGCTTCAAATCTATCCCCTCTTCTGCAAGCTTGTCTATATTTGGTGTCTGGATGTCACTTCCTTGATAACTTGTGTCATTCCATCCCAAATCATCTATGACAAACA